CATGTTCAAGACCACTCAGGAAATCTGTGGCTGAGCTAAGAATTGACAGCAGCTCTCTTAAGTCCCAGTCCAGCACTTTAACCCCAAGAACAACATTCCTACCAGGATCAGGTCCTCACTGAGACCTGTACAAAGACATACAAAAGGTACATCTACACAGCACTGAGCTACTAATAGTTAATTGTGTGGGGTACACTCAGCTGATCTTGATGGATGTTTCCTGTCTAGAGAGAAAGGCAAGACACTATTCCGCACCTTCTCCCAACCCTTCACCCCCAAGTCCTACCAATGTGCTGTGGAAGAACATTTCTTTAAATCCATGCAGATTGCAGACTCACTGAGGCCAGGACTGTGTCTTAGGGTGTATCTACATGGCAATTGAGAGATGTAATAATTCCCAGCTCTGGGAGATGTACATGCCCCAACTCTGCTTGAGCTAACTTGCTAATAAGAGCACTGTGCCCACGGCAGTGCGGGTGGCATCTTGGAGTAGCTGTGGCCACTACAATCCTGCCTCACAACCAGGATACGTACTCAGATGACTAGCTTAAGCCACCACTTTCACTGCCATGGGCACAATGCTACATTTAACATGCTAGCTTGAGCAAAGCTAGCATGTACATCTACCAGAGCAGGCAATTACCTGCAGGCTAAACTTAAGTCTATTGCTTCAGCTGGAAACTCAAAACGATATTGTTTTGTAATAGAACCAGCCTTTTGTTACGTCAACAACGCCCCCTGCCTTAGCACAGGCTTTGCCAAAAAATAAATACAAGCAAACACACATGCACTTGACTAATGGATCAACGAAAGAGCTACTTCCCAAATGGTTATCATTGGGAAACTTATCACTGGGAAACTTATTTTTTTAAAATTACTTCATTTTTTTAAAACCTGGAAGTGCCTTTCAAATTCTCATGATTCATGTCTAGGTGAGCTGTTACATATTACATCCCATGGAGAATATAATCCAGCATATTTGTACTACCACTCAATACTGCTAATCAATGAAAACTAGTCTTTTTAAAAAATCAAACAATTTTCAGTGCAAGTTAGCAAACGAAATCCAATTTGTAAATCACTTTGAGCATTACTGATTTAAAAATAAAAGAAGATGGACAATTTTTAAAAGCAAACCTACAATTGTGTTGCTTTGTATCATACATATCTATTGTATGACATCTAAATTCTGCAGTGACCGGCACTCTATAAGAAGATAGCCAGTGCTACTTGAATAGAGCAGGACTCAATAGATATAATATATGCTTGAAAACATAACAGGAGCTTGGGGAAGGGATTTGGAGTGACAAATCATCAAGATGTTGGATCTGTGTATTTATGCATTTGCTTGAATAAAGAATTCAGCTTAAACCTGCTGATCGCTTGTTTGTTTCAGGCAAAATGCAGCATACAGAAAAGAAACTTGTACTAAAGAGAATTTCTTGCAGCTTTTAAACAGTACATTTGATAACTGGGTATAGAACTTCCCTATCAAAAAGGTTGGTTCAGCCTTAAATTGGTTGTCATTCTGTGGGTGTCCTTTGCTTTGTAGTTATGTGCTACTATTGATTCATGTGCAAAACTTCCTTTGAAATAAATGACTGATTTTAAGGTGTGGCCAGTGGAATCTAAAGCTGATTCAAAAGTTTACTCTTTAAGAAAAGAGTGCCTCCCATTGGCATGCAAACTGAATGCTGAGTTTAGCATTCCCTACTACCCTGACTCAATCACAGGGCCTGTGGAATGGTAGATAGTCACTACATAGAGGGGAACTCCAGGGAGTAGATTTACAGAGGAAATTCCTTATCCCCTCCCAGGTTAGCCAGGCTCTTCTGCCTGAATTTAGCCAGCAGCCATACCAGAGCTCATTTAAAGGTACAGGCAACCCTCAACTGCCCCCAAAAAAACCTGGACTAAAGCATAATTGTCCCACTGTAGGATGCCAGGTGATATTTTTTTAAATAGATTAAAATCTGAGCTTGTTTCCTATTACATGGCTGTAAAGCTCTTCTATTAGAGTAACTGTGTGAGTGGACTGGACAGCTTGGGAAATTGGAAATAAGGTTTTCACATCTGTCTGGCTGCCTTGACTTCAGTTTCAATATGATGGCTGTTTGAGACCGCTAACTCATTTCTAACAGGTCACCAGTCCAGATCAGGAGTCTACATTAAAAAACGCAGACTCAATAATCTCAGTAGGGAGGAGGAGGATTGACTGAGCACAGAGACTAAACCCTGTTCTCCTTCAGATCACTGAACTTTCACCCCTGATGATGTAGCTTGCACCATCTGAACTGTACCAGTTCTGTGAATAAAATAGAGGATTCTAGACTCCAAGCCTTGTCCAACAACTGCCTTTAGAGAAATACTATTAAATTGGGACTAATGGATCCTAGGGTATAGGTGCACATATTGTGATGAGTTCTGGGCCCCACACTACAAGAAGGATGTGGAAAAATTGGAAAGAGTCCAGCGGAGGGCAACAAAAATGATTAGGGGACTGGAACACATGAGTTATGAGGAGAGGCTGAGGGAACTGGGGATGTTTAGTCTACGGAAGAGAAGAATGAGGGAGGATTCGATAGCTGCTTTCAACTACCTGAAAATGGGTTCCAAAGAGGATGGCTCTAGACTGTTCTCAGTGGTAGCAGATGACAGAACAAGGAGTAATGGTCTCAAGTTGCAGTGGGGGAGATTTAGGTTGGATATTAGGAAAAACTTTTTCACTAGGAGGGTGGTGAAACACTGGAATGCGTTACCTAGGGAGGTGGTAGAATCTCCTTCCTTAGAAGTTTTTAAGGTCAGGCTTGACAAAGCCCTGGCTGGGATGATTTAATTGGGGATCGGTCCTGCTTTGAGCAGGGGGTTGGACTAGATGACCTCCTGAGGTTCCTTCCAACACTGATATTCTATGATTCTATGATTCATCCACTCTGCTCCTCTCTCATGCTCAGATGTTTGGTGTTGGAGAAGATCATGTTAAAAAAAAAAGTGCTCCTTAACAATTTTTCTCTAAATTATTAGTCCATGGGTAAAACTGCTTCCCCTTAATTATATAATCTTGTGCAGGCTTTAGTGCTGGTGATGCTGGAATGTTTATATAAATTTATTGCCCTTGAAAAATATCCAAAGGTTCGGTATTGTGAGAGTCAGGGGGCTGTCATGAGGACATAGAGCTTGTCACTGATAGATTGAAGGGTTATTCTAGCCCATATCAATAGTGACCCAAAGTTGTATTAATAATATGGTCATGCTAATAATTTGCATGTGTATATAGTGCTTTTCCAAGTGTTAAATGATAAAGCTGTTGTTGCAGCTGTTCTGTGGTCTATGAAATGAGTTGGTTGCCTCAATACAGTTCCTCGTGGACAGGCACTGTTGCTTACAGTGTGAGCTAAAAGGTAATAGCTAAAAATGTTCCCTTCTTATTCAGAGTTTGAGGCAAACCAAGGCAGCGTAGACAATGTATCTTTGTAAGTACTTATTAGACTCCTATCACTAAAGTGCCTGAGCCCTCACGAACATTAATGAATTTGCCCTCATCTTCCCTTTCAGGCGGGGAAGTATTATATGCCCATGTACTCCCCGGGACAAGGCATGCAGAGATTAAATACCTTTCCCAGAGTCACCCAGGAAGTTTGTGGCAGAGCCAGGATTTGAGCCAAAATCTCCGGAGTCCATCTCCATTTTACCTGCTCTCAGGATAAAATGGGGATGATAGCATTTCCCTCCCTCACAGTGCTGTTGTGAGGATAAATACATTAAAGCTTGTGAGGTGTTTGGATATCTCAGTAGCAAGGGGCACATAAGAACTAAAAAAAAGGTTCCTTATTTTAAAAACTGTAAAATGAAACTGCAGCACACACAAGTGAAGCAGTAGGTCACTGTAAAATGGATATTAAGAAGGCAAGAGGAATTCTCAATTACGGATAGGCAAAAACTCAGGTTTTTAAGTACAACAGTCTTTCAGCACCTTTTAGACCACCAGAGAGTAGGGAACAATCAGTGAAGATATGGAGGCTACAGAGAACGTGAATTATTTCTTTTAATCTATCTTCACTATACAGGATGGCTGAGAAATTCTCCGGTGGTGCATGGGGTAGTTAAACAATGGTGTAACTACAATGGTGCAAGTAGTGCAGTCATGCCAGAGACCACAAGGTTATCGGGGTCCTGCCCCTACTTATACATCCCAAAATGCCATTGGCCTTCTTGGCAACAAGGGCACACTGCTGACTCATATCCAGCTTCTCGTCCACTATCACCCCTAGGTCCTTTTCCGCAGAACTGCTGCCTAGCCATTCGGTCCCTAGTCTGTAGTTGTGCATTGGGTTCCTCCGTCCTAAGTGCAGGACCCTGCACTTATCCTTATTGAACCTCATCAGATTTCTTTTGGCCCAATCCTCCAATTTGTCTAGTTCCCTCTGTATCCTATCCCTGCCCTCCAGCGTATCTACCACTCCTCCTAGTTTAGTATCATCCGCAAATTTGCTGGGAGTGCAATCCACACCATCCTCCAGATCATTTATGAAGATATTGAACAAAACCGGCCCCAGGACCGACCCCTGGGGCACTCCAGTTGACACCGGCTGCCAACTAGACATGGAGCCATTGATCACTACCCGTTGAGCCCGACAATCTAGCCAACTTTCTACCCACCTTATAGTGCATTCATCCAGCCCATACTTCTTTAACTTGCTGACAAGAATACTGTGGGAGACCCTGTCAAAAGCTTTGCTAAAGTCAAGAAACAATACATCCACTGCTTTCCCTTCATCCACAGAACCAGTAATCTCATCTGACCTTACTCCATCGGATTCATGAAGGCAAAACAGCTTCCTATAACACATTGGTTTATAAAATTGCACCATCTTCCCCCAGTATTTTCATGCGCCTTTCTAGGTTCTCAGTCTCTTCCCACCCTAATATCCAAGCACCTCACAGCATTTAAAATAGAAATAACAATAACAAAGTTAATTTAGAAAAAACAAAACACTTACTGTTATGGAAACAAGCAGCAACTGCTTTCGTTCAGGTCCAAATTATGACATTGTTTGGGAGGTTTGCAATGTATAAAGCGTGCCCATTTCCGTGCTGGCTTTGAAGAATGTCACTACAACAGGGTTAGGTTAGCTGCACCGCACACACCTTGTGTCTCTCAGGGCTTGTGAGCAATGCCCTCTGGGACTTGCAGTCCTTCTGCTGCTTAGCACCACCTGTTTAAACAGATTATGGGGAAAGCAGAAACTACATTACCCATAATTGCTTTCAGTTTATTTCTGATTATACCTGAAACCAGGAGAGCAGGTCTGGTTGCTGGAGTTTCACCTTAGGGAGGGAGAGAAAGAAGCAAGTGGGAAAGGGAAACTAATGTATGCTCAGTTTGTGCATTTGGAAGACGTTCTGTCTATATTTTTTACTCTCCTGTGCCATGCTGAAGGTATATAGAGCTCTCTGGAAGGGGCAGATGAGGGGAGTGTTGGGATAAAGTGCTATTGTTGAATTTTAAAACAATTAGCTTCAAAGTAAATAATACAACATCCAAACTAGCACAAACCTGCATAACTGCTTCTGCGTCTATCTGTGCGAGAGACACACTCTCAGCTACTGAATGAGCTCAGCTAGGGGTGGCTCCAAAACCTTTAGTCATCAACTGAGGCGGAAATACAGAAATATATTCCAGGAAAGAGAACAGAGCCTTTCTGACCCCATGTTCCTTGACAAAACAGACGTAAAGATTCCAAGAGTAAAATTTCATACATCGTCGCAACAAATTAATATATGGAGACTTTATTAGACGTGGAGATGAGTAAAATGTTTCAGTTGAAACTCTTTTCGGTAAAAGATGCACATTTGGCAGCACTGCAACATTTAATGCATTCATGTGATTTTGCCACATTATTTGTCACAAAAAACAAAAATTCTGAAAAAGTCAGAGTGAAATGTTTTGATTTACAATGACTTTTCATTTCAAAATTTCCTTAAGCCTTATAGTTAAAAAAAAAAAAAACTAATGTAAGTAAAACTTGAAACCAAAACACATTTTGTTTAATCAGAAACCATCTGTTTGATTTGCCAAAAATTTCGAAAACAAATTCTTTGTTGGGTTTTCCCAAAATTAATTTAAATTTGAATTGATACCAAACTGAAAAATCAGTTCTTCGCACACTCTGGTTGGAAGAACTTGGGGTGATGGGGTTCGGAAGAAGAGTTTGTGCCACTGAAAGTCAGAGCAGTCACATGCTTAAGTGGATTTCTTTCATTAGTCCTTACTTCACACCCAGCTCTCACCCGTGGCTCCAAGTAGCTGCTAGCATGCAGCAGTGGCCACACTCCAGGAGTATGCTTTGGCAGACCAGGCAGAGGAGACCTTTAAGTCCAACAGATGGAAAAGCACTGCAGCCATGTTATGTGCCATACACAAGGTTTGGCAAGGCACAAAGATGTCTATGGCTATCCGTCGCACCTAATGATGTTTCCAGTCATTGCGACCTTTTGTGCCACTGGTTTTTGACTTCAACAACTGAGAGAGTGAGATTGCCTTTGTGTGCAATGGTATTCTAACTTAACACTTCATGCACAGGCATTCATGTATCAACCCATGTTGCTGCAAAGCCATCGTTGGGTACAACACGCAACCATACAGCTGGAAGAATGTACCTACCATATTTCAGTGCACGCAGGTCCAAATCCTGCACCTGGCCAGACCCCAAGTAAATAGTCTTTGAACAGGGGTTCTTGGCATGAGTCAGAGAGGACGTAAATCTCCCATCCTGATTTATTATTTGTGTTCCAGCATCACTTAGTGCAATCACAGCCCCATGTACTAGGCACAGCAGTCCCTGCCACCAAGATGTAAAATATAAATAGACACAACACAAAGGGGGTGAGAGAGGCAGCATTCTGACTGTTTCACAGATGGGGAATGGAGACACAAAGGGATAGTTTCTCACCGACGTCACACAGGAACGCTCGACAGAACCAGAAATTGAACTCCAATCTGTGTCCCAGTCCACTGTCTTGACCACAAAACCATTCTTCCTCTAATGAGTCTGCTACAGCAGTTGAGGAGAGGGATTTAGCTACTGAAACTGCATCTAGATCCCCTGACCATGCTGCCTCCCACAAGTTCCCCTCCACCTGTCTGTGATAGGTGCACAGTGCACAGTTTGCACTAGTGTCCTGCCCCTCCCCACGCAGCAGAGCTGCACCAGTTCCACTGCATTCATGGGCTATTTACATGGGTCAGAAGACTTGGCCCTCAGGGAGGGTAACTCCCTCATTTAGGGTTTTCTTTAATGTATTTTTAAAGTATCTCCCTCCAGCAAAGAAACAAATGTTCCTATTTTCCAGTGAGACATTTAAAATTTCACTCATTTCTTTTTCAATCCCATTCACTCAGAATGTCACACTGAGATAGAGCCCTAGAAGGGAATGAATCTGCCAATACCATATTCATCATGGTGACAGCTAAATATCTTATGGAACTACATAAGCTCAGCCATGTAGTTTATTAATGTTTTCTATGGATTTTATGGCCAGGAGGGACCATTAGGCCATTCAACCTGAATTCCTCTATATCACATACTAAAGAATTTCTCCCAGTACTGAGCCTAATAACTTGCATTCAATTAATTAATGGTGGGTCTCATCTTAAAACCCACTATCTAGAAAATAGGAGCCTCTAATCTACAACCATAGTTTGATTTACGTTGGATTTAGTTCTGAAATCATGTTTAATAAATCCCACTTGCCAGATGATGCAGCCCCTGGGAGGGCTCTGCTCTGTTCCCATGAGGAGGATGGTCAGAACAATGCTCACAACAGCCAGGCAGGGCCTGGCCTTCTGCTAAGACTCTGCCTATGGAAATAGAAAGGGTTTTCTCCCTCCAGATCCCCTCTAAAGGTCCAACCTTGGAGATGAAGGGCCTTCAGGGAGAATTTGTAGTTGGAAATGGGCACTGCCAGTGGGAGGAGAGGGGAAATAATGCCAGCCATTTCTGCTGGCTTATTCAGAGCCATTGGAGAAGCAGGGACTGTTTGTCTTTTCTGTTCAGATTGTAAGCTCATTGAGGCAAGGACTGTTTTTCTCAGTGTGTGCCCAGAATCTAGCACAATTAGGCCTGAACCTCAGCTGAGGCCTACTGATGCCATAATAATTAATAACAATAAAGGAGACTTTGTTCTCCTGAGTATCAAGCTCCATCCCTTTTTTCTGTCCTCCAGAATGATTTCCGAAGCTTCCATTTACTGACAGCCTTCACATGGCAGGCAGTTACTGTCCCACTCACCACTCCTTGTTTCTCTGCAGGGTCACTGGCCCAGAGCAGAAACGTTGCACTCCCTAGAGAGGCATTTTTAGACACTTTGTCAGTCCTTCCTCACATTTAAAAAACAAAACTATTGAAATCAATGACAGACCTTTGGATTGGGCCTTCAAGTCATAGTAAACAGCCTTCTGTCCTGGAAATAAATCAAAATATTTAATCAATCTGGTGTTTGTATTTTTTCAGTGTATTAATAAATATATTAAAATACATCTCAGGTGTAAATATAAGTTAAGCATATTTCCCCCTGGTTTTGGAATTGTTCAATAGGGGTGAAAATTAACCCCTGCGGAGCAGACTTGAATATGCACTACTTCAGAGCCACTTAAGGTCTCACAATAGGGTTTATGTGGTGCATATATTTATGTGGGCACTCTGCACAGGAATGAATGAGTCCTGGGTATATACTTATATATACTTATATATACTTATTCTTATGAAACCAGTGCAATGTCTGCATGTGCTGGTGCTTTTATATTATTACCGGATGGAAGCTTACATTGCAGGTAGGTGTTTCTTTTGATTATTCTTGATTATCTCTATAAAAATCGATTTGACCAGTCAAGCTCCTCTTGCCAGACACCATTGAAATCTATTCACCCGCAGACCATTTTTCTTTTGAAAACCAGTGATGAGACACTATTGCCTTTCATAAAGTTTGGCTCATTTCCTAAACAAAAATCTTCCATTAAGCAGATTTAGATCATTATCTCTCAGGAATGCTAAGTATTTTGTGGATAGTTAATAAGTGATTTCATGTGTTTGTTTAATTAACTGCTGCGTTTGTATACAGGGGAAACCCACATGCTGTATGTACATGCAGACAAAGCAATAGCAGATGTTCACTGATCCATCTGGCAACATATTTCCACATTTTTGTTTGCTAGACTGTGGCTCTGTTCAGATCTCAGATATGCTTTTGTGTATTGACGTCAATGGGAGATGTGGGTGAGGATTTCAGGGCAAAATGGGATCTGTGGGCTCAATTCTGCTCTTACAGCCTGAATTTTCAGAACAAGTATGTGAAGCACCTGAGTGACAAGAGTGGCACGTTATGGCCTTGTCTACACGGGTAAATGCCCAGCGTAACAATAGCTATTTTGGAATAGCTCCCCATATGGACACTCTATTGTGGAGTAAATGTGATTTTATTCTAGAATAAGTATTCCACATTGGAAGCAGATTGATGGCACTAAGTCACAGCCTGTGGCTTGGGCAGCCCTGCCATCAGTGGTGGCGAACCCTTTGAAACTTGAAGAGTGCAAGCAGCCACATTACGGCTGCTCATGTGGAGAAGGAAAAGGATCAGGATGCCCTCTGCCCAGCCAGGTGCACACACGCAGCAACAGCCATGTTCTTACTCTATATTTGCTTATGACATACGCTACTTCTGTATTTATCAACTGTGCTTTTCTTTGGCTAATTGTACCCCAAATCAGTTTTATGAACTTGTTAAGAAAAAACTAAGAATACAGGTCCAAAAGTGACTGCCTGGTTACATCCATGAAACTACCTTGACAGTTCTGGGCAACAATGCAATTCATAAGGAGTCTTGGAGGATGGGAAAGCAAGACAAAAAATGATTTTTCAATGGATTCCATGACATTATATATATATATAGTATATATGAAAGTGATATAGCTGATGACCTGGCCAATCAGAAACTTAGGCTGGAATGACAATGGTTGAGGATATTGATGCCCTATCAAGGGAGATATTAGCTTAAATAAATGGTCAAAAGATGAAAGATCCTCTGATTGATATCAAGGCATCTTGGAAAA